CTCCAGAGCAGTTCTGAGAGTCTGATAGTGTGTCAAAGGATAACTATTGCATTTTTCAAAGAAAAAAAAAAGACACTTCTCCCTAAGATAACAGAAATTAAGCTAAAAGGGCTTATCAGAATAAGGTTTTGAATCCTGCAAGATGTTGAGCTCTGCAAGGTTGGGAAGAGCCTTGTCCTTCCATTCGTAGGAGGCCTCTGCCTCACCCAGAGCACTGACTTGGAAGTGCACGTTGTGTTCAGAGCAATTCTAGGAAAATGTTAGAATCTGCCGCATAACATAATTAAAGTCAGACCGTTCTGTTCTTCTTGGAAGTTTATTAACAGACGTTTCAGACCTAGACCCTAGAGAAGAAAGAACACTTTCAAAATCAGAATTTCAATGGATATTAAATGCCTGGGAAAACTTTTTAAATCTTCATTTAAGCAAAAAAAAATTAATAAATTCAGAGTTCTCAGGACTTTATTTTCTTCTTGACAAAGTTTTTGGCCTGATGACATTTTTTTTTGGAGGATGCAACTTTAAGTTCATAGTAAGACCCTACTTGCTCAATTCCTCTGTCACAGAATCATAGAATGATTTAGGTTAGAGAAGACCTTTTTGAGCTCGTTGAGTCCAACCATTAATGTAGCAAGGCCAGGTCCACCACCAAACCGTGTCCCTAAGCACCACATGTAGGAGATCCCAGTCAATACTTCTGCCCCTCTTGGGATATGGGGTTTTTGTCAGTTATCCTAGCGTTTTCCAGCCCAGTCCTCATAGGATATTGAGAACCACTTCATGGTTTCTTGCGAACACATGGGTTGCGACTTTTGAAAACCTCTTATGTGTCACAACTTTTAAAGCATGTAGGAATTTCTTGCCAGTATATTTCCACAGTTACATGTTTTATTGCCAGGACTCTTCATTTTCTTCTATAAATGAACGGCCATGTTTTGTTTTGTTTTGTTTTGTTTTCACTCTAAAACAATGAGGAATTAGTATCAAGTATCTCCTTTGTAAAGGAAGATTAAACTGCTGTCATGGAAATAACCAGCCTTAGCTGCTAATAGGTGTCGCTCTATATCTGGATAAATTGTTTAACCTCTATGATAAATAGGTTGTAGTAAAAACATTGCCCAGAGGCTGCCCTGCATATTGATATCCTTCAAATGACGTATAGTACAATCCTTTATCAGCCAAGCCAAATCCCTATTAATAAAATGGAGACAATAAAATTTTCTGTGGCTCTGTGATTCCTGCCCTTTGGAACTTGTGTCACCTTGTCTGATGTATTTGTTCTTTCTTACTGATCTGGAGCATCTTGAGTACTCTGGTAGTACAGAGAGTATTGTGGGCCTGAATGTATCTCAGTAGTCAAAGTTTCTAAAGAAAAATCCATCTTTGAACGATGTGCAAGTGGAGACACATTTAACTTGCTTAATTTAGGGCTTGCAGAGCCCTTCAGGATGAATGAGTCTGCTAAAATAAAAGCACTGAAGTATTCAGTGGCAGTCAACAATTGTCAAACACAATTGTCATGATGAAATTCTGAGACGCGTCTTCCTCAGATCAACAAAATGCAAGGGGAAAAAAAAAAAGCTTTACATAATAAGCAACATAAAGTCCAAAGTCCAGTAGCTGGCATTGTATAATTTGTTGTTGCTGGATTTTTTTCTTAAAAAATATCAAGTTTCTGAGGGTTGACGTGCCAGCCCCGTGAAAGGTATTCATGAAAACTGGTAGCCCCAGGTAACAGTAAAATTGAAACACTTTGTCCTGCTGAGAAGACACGGTGTTTTCTGGGTAAGGGTTAGCATAACATCTGCTAGGAGCACCTGCATATCAGAGCTGTAGCCAAGAAAAACATTTTAAAGCTAGAGGGGTTAAAATAAGAGTATCTGACAAAATGTGAAGAGCTTAATGGGAAAGTAACGGTGCCAAACAAAAAGATAACCATTTATAAATGTCACATTTATACGTGAATGGTTTTTAAAGGGAAATTATCTATGCAAGGATCACAAAATTGACTTGTTCTCAGTCAGCCTTACAGGAATCAGTGATAAGCAGGTTGCACGCGGTATTTTAAGTGCGATTGTAGAGTGGTGATTGATTGTGCCTGCAAATCAGCGTGTTTGAACTCTGTGTTCTGAGCCGTTCTGCAATTCCGAGCCGCTCTGCAGATTAGGAAGCTCTGCAGCTACAGGACGTATTTCAGCCTGCCTGTTTGCCAGAGAGTTCTCTGCTTGACAGGACTGGATGTTTTGCTGAAATCTGAGGAGCTCTTATCAATTAACAAGTTCACTTCAGCGTGGCTCAGAGATAGGGGTGAGGATGATGGGTTTTTCATGGCATTCAATAAAGTTAATTAGACTGGAGCCTGCAGATCCTAGAAGAATGACTAAATAACATTGCTTGTGTTTCCTGGAGCAGAACACAGGTGTGATGCAGAGCCGAACTCCCAGGGCTTACCCTCGGGTTTTGCTCCTTCCAGTATTTTTGTCCACAGTCTTCATTGTCCATGGCGGTGTGTGGAGTCTCCTCGCGCACAATTTAGGCAGTTCATCAGAAATGATGAATCACAAGTCCAGTTACAGCTTCTCAAATTTCAAAGACAAAGCCTATTCAGTGAGAAGGATCTTGTACTGGGGAGCCCAGAACTGGACGCCGGACTCCAGATGTGGCCTCACCAGTGCTGAGTAGAGGGAACTTCTCAGGGAGGAAAATAAAATAATGTATGGTAAAACAGAGCTGTGATTGACAGAAGGACTTGCAGGAACTTTAAAAAAAATATAAAGTGATAAGCAAATTTGGAACAAGATAGAGAATTAACTTTTACTCTGTCATCCTTTAGGTGTTCTTATGAATAAAGATCACACCAGCACATTTTCTTTTAGATTTAATAATTCCAGCAAATAGTGCCCTCCTATTAGAAGTGTTTCATGAAGATTTCAGTTGTCAGGTTTTACTTCCACCAAGTAGGAAAAATACTATCGAATTAATGAGGGAATCTTAAAAACTGGATAGCACTAGCTATTAGCAAAATTGCTAATGTTGAAAAGGTGGTAAATTTACCTGATCATCATCCTTAGTTCTTTATTATTTAATTTTCTTGTTTGTTTGGGTTTTTTATATATATTCAGGCTGGTCAATATTTGTTTGAAATTTTTTTATCTCCTGAAGTTCCTCAAGGCTGGAAATTCAGGTCAGCCTTGTTTTCACAGAATGTGAAAAAGAAAATAAAATAAACTTCTCTGATAAATATTGATTTTTGTACCCTTTTGGTTTTTAAAATCTGTTTCTGAGGCCACAACTGACCTGACAATTTTCTATTTTTTCAGAGGAATACTTTTAGTTCAGAAAGTTTCTGCTGAAGAGGAATACCCACTAATATGTTGTCATTTGGGGCACGAACTAGAAGCAGATATTGATAGTGTAAATGCAAAACAAATTGGGTGGGATGATGATGGATAAGAGAGGCTGAGTAAGTAATAATTAGCAGCTTGTGAAGTTCATTTGAACTGTGGCAATGCAAGAGGAATTTATACGAATAGCTGGGCAAAGTGAGCTTCTAATCTTCCATGTTTTGCCTTTAATATTATTCGCAGTGGAACTGTTTTGACAGTTGTGTCTGCACGTATTTGTTCTTCATCAGAATTGTGCGCAGTTAAGCTGCTTGGGATTGCTGTACGTACAACGCACAGACACCCTTACCCGCAGTAACTGTCTGCTGCTGTGCAATATTGAGAAAGTGTTTCTAAAGAATATCAGCTTTAACTTTTCAGCCTCTGACTCCTTATAAGAGACCTGAGAAGATAACTACAAAATCTGGCTTATCCTCGGTACATATCAGTTTGCTAGAGAAAGGACTGCATCTCTGTTTAAAATGTTTCCCCACGCGTTAAACAGAAAAAGTGTCAAAACACTGAGCCAGAGGAAACAAAGCCTCGTGCAGCAGAGAAAGTGCAAAACCTTGTTTCATCTTGGGATTTCAGTGGAGCTCCGTGTTGTGAAATGGGCAGTAGACTTCTTTGCAGTTATTAGGATTATCTAAGAACTGCTGTTCCCTTTAGCAAGCAGCAGTTAGGGTGAAGTTAGCTTGGCCCAACACAGCCATGAAGGTGCCTGGTTGACTTCTGTCGCATATTTCGGGAAGTTTGGAAGACTGTACCAGATTGAAGGAGGAGAGGGTAATAGCTGAGATGATCTAGAAAGCAGCTAAATCACTTCAGCAGTTCTTTAAAGAAGGCATCCGAAAGCATTGGCTCGCAGGATGGTGTCTTTTAAATTTGGAAGCTCTTGTTAAATATGGCCCTGAATTAAATCCAAAGCAGACACTGTTGTAACATGCAATTCCCACTAAAAGTAACACTCCCATAGCCCTACCTCCAATTAAACTGTAGGCAAGTGACATCCTTAACTAGTTTGGCTTGAAAATTTGGGTTTGATTAGAAAGAGTGCAGTAGTAAAATTATAGTAACATTTCAGGAATAAATTCAGTGTTTGTTTTTAGTTTGTTTGTTGTAAAAACTAAGGAAGAGCAGTTTGAGGCAGTTTCTCTTTCTGGGTGCTAAGAAAAATTACTTTGGAAACAAACAGTGATGCTGCTGTAACCAAGTCACTAAGCACAATATATTCTCTCTTGAAATAACTGTCAGTTCCCACACAGAAATGGGAGATCCCAAGTCCACTTCTATCTGGAATGCCCTTTAATTCAGTAGTCAGCAGTATCAAAATTAGGGGATACAATATGGATTATTCTTGATTTCTATTAGAGCTCAAAGGAAATAATATTCTGAAATCATCTTCTATTTCAAGATGTGTTTCCTTCTAATGATCTAGTTATGCAAATTTCAGAAATGTATCTTTTTTCCCTGGATGTTAAGTACAAAAGGCATTTACCTTACATAATTGTAGGTGTAAATTCAATAGGAGGCAAGAAGAAGCTATCAAGTTGATAGGTTCTTCCCTAAGGACAAGGGTAAATGGGAATAATACTCATTAAATAATTCCTCTTCCAGGAAAAGGATGTGACTCCTGATAGCCGGCTGCTGAGGCGAGTGAGAGAAGCTGCACTCCAGACTGAAAATCTTTCTCCTTTTATACATATGAGGGCTTCTACATGCCTTACTGACTTTTTTCTTGCCCTTGCCATCTGCAATACAGTCCTGGTCTCCACAGCTACCGAGCCAAGACAAAGGGTAATCTAACATTAAGCATATGAGGAGAATTGATTATATTTCCATTTAACAACACAAAGTAGTCTTCAGTGAAACCTCAAATGGTGCAAAATGGTTTGGAAATTATCCCTTAGTTCTTTTACCTTTTGTGTAACACCTACTATTTCCCTGCCTGTTTATATCCCTTCCTAAACTGGCTTTTTGATGAATAGCTACGACCACCATGGTATGTGCACTTTTTCATCTTTTATATTTTATATTATGCTGTAAGAACTATGTTGAACATACTGGATTGTCTCTGCTCTCCCAGACCATTGATAGAACTACAAGGGGCTCTATTCCATCTCTGCTTCAGAGGTAGAGATACAAATCACCATCACATTTGGATGCCAACTCAGCTATGACTCCTCTCTTGAATTCCCCCACCAGAGTTAAATAGGGGAAAAATCCAAAAAGTTGTTTTTCTAGCTATCATCATTTAGATACAGAAAAATATATTGAGGTTTGGAATTTTATTTATTTTTAACCGTAGATTTTCTCATATTTCTAGGTCACAGTCCCACCACCAATAAAACCTTCAGGAATCACCCTGGAGAAGATCCATCAGATGTTTCAACGGCTAAAATCAGCGAGCCTTAACCAGTCTTTTTCATCATCTCAGTCTAGCTCCGAGCTAGGTGCTAGCTTCAGTGCGAAGAACACCGAGCAGCGCCTCACTGCGCTGGGTGGCTGTGACAGCGGTGACGGCTGCAGTACCAGCAGCCAAGGCAATGAGCTCCAGCGCAAGGGCAGCACAGACATGGCTTCCTTGGATGAAGTTTTTAAATCCGTGACCAACGATTCCTTGCCAACGGACTTCTGTTACGAGGCTGAGAGCCCCGATGAGGCAGCCCTCGTCTATGCTGCTCAGGCATATAGTTTTACTTTGGTGTCCCGAACTGCTGAACACGTCACCGTGCGGTTGCCGCAAGGCACGCTCCTGACTTTCGATATTCTCTACACGTTGGGATTTGACTCGGTGAGGAAGAGAATGTCTGTAGTCGTGAGACACCCTCTAACCAAGGAGATTGTTGTCTACACAAAAGGAGCTGACTCTGTTATAATGGACTTGCTGGAAGACTCTGCCAAAAGTAATTACCCCGTGAGCTATTTCTGTTGTGTCTCCTATGAAAAAAGCACAAGAAGTTTGCAGCCCTCATTTCTGCACGAAATATTATATCTAGGCATCAGAAGTATAAAAAAAAAAGAATAAGCTTTCTCTCTAGCATTATCCCTGCAGATCAGAACTGAGGTATTTATTTAACCTGAGTAGTGCTTAGAATGTGGAATGGCCTAATTAAAATTCACTGACGGCACTAACCCGTGTGACTTGTGTACTCTGCAATAATACTGTCATAAGGGCCTGACCATTGTATTTCAGCTTGTCAGCAAGTGTGAAAACATTAACAAACAAACAAAACAAAAAAATACCTCAAATAATGTTACGTAAAGGAAGCAAGAGTCTTTAGCAAGCTTTCAGCTTATGCACAGCCAATAGTTTTGAGCTTTTAAAGACATTGCTACTGTACTGGAACCCAGTTTTCTCTAATGCCCACTCTTTTTTGATCTTTAGCCTGAGGTCTGAAATGATCTGTGCTTAAAATACAGAATCTTCTCCTTGTATTTCACAGCTGACGTTAGTGCAGAGAAGAGAATGAAAAGAATAAAAGAAAAAACACAGAAGCATCTGGACTACTATGCCCGTGATGGCCTACGAACACTGTGCATAGCTAAAAAGGTAGGAGGGCAGTAGCTTAATATTGTTCACAGCTTTGCTCTGTACATGTCAATAGATATATTAGAAAAATGTAATGGTTATAATTCTTTCTGCTTCAGAGAACAGATACAGCCTCCTTTTTTTCTTTTTTTTTTCTTCCTTTCTTTATGCCTCTATTTGATTGCTCTGCAGTGTTTTTTTCCTGTTTTTCCTCTGTGTGAGCAGATGATGGATTTTTGGTCAGCCTCAAAACATTCATTTCTGTTTCTCTTATGGAAACTCTAGCTGACCTTCTCTACAGTCATTCCAAGTAAGAAATAAAAAGCCCACAGAGGAGCCAACCTTTTTCTATTTTGTTTGGCATTCAGCTTTCAAAAACCTTGCCCTCAGCCTGGGTTAGTACATCTTAGCCTGATAGTTTAATACAGAAGTTGTCTCTGTGCAACAAATAGCTTGTATTCAAGCTCTGGAGAAATGTGGAGCAACCTTCAGAAACGGTGTGTTCCAGAGGAGAGTCCTAAGGGCTCTGTGATCAAGAGTTTCTCTAGGTCATGTTTTTAAGTCGAAGCTATGGGCCATTTATACAAAGAGGAAGGCAGGTCTGTTTTTCTCATTGCTACTAATTCTTGCAGTCTTCTCTTGAAAAAGTTGCATTATTTTAAAGACAACATAGCATGTTACCAGTCTGGCTAGGAGTTAAGTCTCTGTGATCCAGAATGTTGGCACTCTTCTCTTATTTAAATTTAAAATGAGCTGGGTTTAAATTGTGGTGTGCAGGTCTTGAATGAAGATGACTTTCAGAAATGGGCCAATTTTCGTCGGGAGGCAGAAGCTGCAATCGACAACAGAGATGAGCTGCTATTGGAGACTGCACAGCATCTGGAGACCAAACTCACCTTGCTGGGTAGCTAAAAATACGAATTGTCATTGCGTGAAGTATCACTTGCTCTCTTGTGATATTCTTGGCAGTCAGACAGACAACAGCTTATACTAATTTATATCAAAAAGTCTTCCTCTGAGGTTTTGAAATCTCAGGGCCTGGGTATACAGTCCAATGACAGTGTCTAAACAAGTTCTTGTGCATTTTGAGCAGCAGTAACTTTGGAAAAGTGTACTGAAACATCATGTGCTTAAGACAGTATCTATCTTTGATGTATCATAGTTACAGCATCTTCAAATTGACCTCTAGTGGAAGAGATAAGGAGTGCTGTAGCATTCAGATTGTGATTTACCATCAGGATGAGCGTTGGCATCTGCTGCTAAGTTTTCGCATTTTCGAAAAGAAAACTTATTGCAATCTTTCTTCTCCTGATGGGTGAAGCATCTAACTTGACAGCAGGGACAGCGTTCATTTAAATAGTCAAAGTCCATCTTTTACAGTTGCTTTGACAGGACCTAATGCAGTACTTTAAAAATGCACAGGGTGTAATTCCTCTTCCAGTCCGTTGTCATTTTGGATTATTAAGAAGAAATGAAACGCAGTGTTCTAGCAATGAGTAAAATGAAGAGCCAGAACTTGATTGCTGACACGTTCAGATCTCAATCCAAATGCAGATCTTGTGCCTGTGTGTTTATTTGCTAGGTGACACCTTGGCTCAGCTTTTAATAAGTTCAGGATCACGACTGGAACTCGAAGACCTTTTCCGAAGAAAAGAAAATAGCAACGTGATTTCCAAAGGAAAGAAAACTAGCTCAGTACTTCTTTTCTGTTTTCCCAGGAGCAACAGGGATTGAAGATCGGCTGCAAGATGGAGTGCCTGACACTGTCGCAGCTCTTCGAGAAGCTGGGATACAAATCTGGGTGTTGACAGGAGACAAACAGGAAACAGCAGTTAACATTGCATATTCCTGTAAACTTTTGAATCAAAGGGATACTGTCTTCACCATTAACACCGAAAATAGGGTGAGTACAGAGAGACACACAGAATTTGCTATTTTTCCCTTTCTTTGTGTCTTGCAGCTTGTCACTGCTTTGCATTAGGCTGCATTCAACTGAAACCAGCCAAGTGAAAGCCCCCACATTAGCCCAGAGACTCTTTGGACCACATGCAACAGGATGAATTGAAACACAAGAGAGTTATGTGGAGTTTTACTCAATTAAAATGAATGATTCTTCCAACTGAAAATATTCTTTCAAAAAAATACTTGAATTGTGAGCTTTAGAAAGAAGGTAATATGAAGTACCTGATTCCTTAACAGTATGGATATCTGGCTTTTTGCCTTGCAATGGAAATTTCAGTTGCAATGATATTTTAATTCTAGGTGGTATCTTTAGGAAGGCATTTGAAAAGTAATGTATGCGTCAGTTTGGCAAAAGTGTGCACGTGTAGATTTAATTAAATTCAGAATTATCTAGTCGCATGTTCCCTAATAGATTTTGGCTTAATCAGAAATTTATTACTGAACAATTTAATGCCGTATCTTTTTGTGTAAGCAGCATTACACCTCCTTGGAAACCTAAATACGGTTCTTGTGGGCTGGTTAAAAACACAGCCACTAGCTTGACATCCCATGTTAGCACATATTTGTTGATGTGCACAGATAGTCCCTGTATTTCCACGGGCAATACGAAGGTCAGGCGGTAGGCAGGGCAAACATACCCCAAAATGAGGATAATCACTTCAAGGGCGTGTCTGCCAGCTCTTGTGATTCATTCAAATATAGTGAATAATCTGTGGCCATTCCTGAAACGGTCGGAATGGAAGAGAGACAAGAAAATCCTAACTTTCTGAGAGGGTAAACACCATTAAGGATGATGAAAGTAAGACTTTAGAAAAGCTTTTGCAGGTTGTGGAGCAGTGTACGTAGGGTACCAGGCAAACCTTGCCTTGCTTTTGGAAAGCAGAGCGGCCCCCTCTGAGCACAGCCTAGCTTCACATCCCTCCGGGCATCCTGATGGGGCAGGTGGCTTGTGAGATGGAGTTAGGGGAGTTCAGACACGACGGTTAAACCAGACCCATTTGCTCAGGCAGAGTGAGCTCTGATCAATTCCGAAGCGCAAGAGCAAAATCCAAAACGCCAGCTGTGATGTCCTTTTTCATTTTCTTGCTCGTGACCTCTCACATCCTGTGCAGCCTCAGGTGCCCCCGAGGTGCCCCAGGCAGCAGCTCCTGCCCTCTCCCAGCATGTAGCTCCGTCCTTCCCACAGTGCCGTGCCCGAGTTACCGTGAGACCAGCGGCACCGGGAGTTACTGTGAGACCAGCCTTTCTGTGGGTGGAAGGGAAGGTGAGCAAGGAAGGCAGGGCTTTTTTTCTGCAATCGGGCAACTCACCAGTCTCAGTTGCCTCATTTTCTTTCCCACAGAAGGAGGGTTACCAGTACAAGCTTGCTTTTCTCTATCAAGCTATTTTGAGGCTTAATTAAATATAGTTAAAATCCGGACTGGTTTTCTTGTGATAGGCAATTGCACGGAGCAGTTAGCTGGCCTACTTTCTAACTGCTTTTGTCTGCAGTCAGTAGCTCTCCAAACAAGAATAAAATCCTATGCAAATGTCTCTCTCTTTTAATGTCACGGAAATAGGGAAACACGCAAAGATGATACGGAATTTGGTACGGAATGCATTCCTTGCTTCAATGTGTAATTTCATTTGATACGCATATCTGCTCTAAGGGAAGGCAGAATGAATATATTTAGGATGGAAATTAGAAGATGGTTTCTGTCAGGGAAGCGATGCTGCAGGCGGGACCACCTCGGCTCCGGGAACGGCGGGCACTTACCCGCCCAGCTCGGGCGCGAGGGACACGCGCATGGGTGCTCATGGGAACACGTGGCTCCATGGGCTGGAGATGCTCCACAATCAGATTGAGTTCCCTCCCTTTCCAGCTGAAGGCGAGGGTACTGGCTCCGAGTCTCCCAAGGGCAGCGGCGGGAGGAAAGAAAAACGTGCACGAAGCGTTTAACCCATTCATTTTGCCAAAGCTAACCCTTGAACTGATTTCACTGGGAAGAGACTCTCCTTACATTCTAAACGCAGAAACTTACTCAAACACTGAAAATTAAGGAAGAAGCAACATGAGTAGGCAGTTTGGGGGATTCGTTTGAAAAAACACACCAGGGCAAACCAGGAATTTCCCCCATATTTTTGGTTTGTCCACAGAAAGACAATACTTCTTTGATGTTTTTTACAAGTTTTAAGCGTGCAGGCTAGATGCAGCTTTTTATTAGATGTCAGAGGTACATTTGATTCCAGAACCTCCCACTTAAGTGTAATTTAAATCTTGCAAACATCCTACACATGTGCCTTATGCAACATCAAGTGAAAATAACATTTTAGAACTGAATCATCACTCAATAAAGCTGACAGAAAAGGTGGAAAAGGGAACGATTAGCTCCTCAGGTATTCAGTGCCATGCTTCAGAAGGAGGACTTTTAGGACTAGCAGGCAGAAAAACAACTTTCAGATTTTTCGGGGTTTTCTCTGGCAGTACTTAGCCAATTTAAGAGATCTGTATAGGAGAGGTAAAAGTGCTCCCCTTAAACCTATTTCTGTTTCATACTAAGTCAGTTCCGGCTGTTTGCACCTAAAGGGGACTTTAGTCCAAAATGAGGCAGATTTGCTAAGAAGAAAAGATTTAGCTTGTGTTTGAGGCTCAGTGTTGAGCAATAGGAAGCATTATGTCTGTCCCTAACTGTGAGACACGCTTGGTTTGTGACCTGCGAAAGTCCAAACTCTCAAAATTACTGGGAAATTTTGAAATTCTAAACCTCTTGTTTCTGTACCATAATTTATTTCTGAGGGAGGCAAATACTGGAATATCTCTCATCATTCATAATGGAACTAGGTTTTGAAAATCTCCTTTTAAAAAGGGGGGATTTTTTTTTTTTAATTTCCGAACTCGCAGCACGGCAAATACAACTGTGTCCTCCTGATGTGAGGCTTATTTTCTTTTCTTTTAAAGTAATTCCTTACTACAGCTAACTAGCTGATAAGACGTGCAGTGTTTTCACTGAAGGATTTGATGACGTAATTGAAATAATCTCCAATCTGATGAATCAGTGCGTTTCTCAGTCAGTTTTCCCTAACGTTTATCTGATAGTCTTAAAGCCCCTGGCATGATTATGCAAACGTACACTTTGCAAGGTGCTGTGCTGTAAAGGGAGGTGTAGATAACTATTTCTAAAACCACTTCTGTTTTCTCCCAGGAAACTTGTGAATCTCTCTTGAATTTAACCTTGGAAGAAGTGAGGAAGAATTACGAGGTTGAAAAACCACGGAGGAAGTGTTTTGGCCTTATCCCAGCATCCTTCTCGGCCTCAGAGCCCCCCAGGCTGGAGTTTGGGCTGGTAACGGACGGACGGACACTGGATATCATCTTCCAGGGGGGCCTGGAGAAGAAGTTCCTGGAGCTGGCGGCGCACTGCCGCTCGGTGCTATGCTGCCGTTCCACCCCGCTGCAGAAGAGCATGGTGGTCAAGCTCGTCCGGAGGCAGCTTAAAGCGATGACTTTGTCGATAGGTACCTCCGTCCTGAATCTCACAGCGGGGAGCAGGTTCTTTTTCATGAGTTATGGAGATGTGGGGAATACACTGTATGAGCTATTTCTTGTGCCTCAGATAGACGCAGTGAATAGCCTCTCCTGATCAAAAACCACATGAAAGTCCTTCTTCAGCTTCCACTGAAGAAATCTGTCCCCCTTTTAGGCGAGATTAAGGCACTCCAAATTCAGGATCTCCCAGCAGTCCCTTTCATGCACACCAATACAAATGTATGTACACATTCCCTCCAGAACGCCCTCGGCTTTGGGCACGGCAAGCACTCCATAGTAGTCACTGTTTTGTCTTTTCAAAAAGTCCTTTTCCTGTCAGATTTCCCCAGCTGGTGAAAACAGAGTTATCCCCAGAGTGATATTAAGCAATGACTCATTTGCTTTTTACCTCCAAATAATGGGAAATACTTTGAGTTTCCTGCCCCACTTTTGGTAAGTGATCTCCCTAAAATCCTTGCAGAACTGATTCTTATGACTTAAAACTAAGAACTAAACCTCTGTGGACTAAACAGAGAAGGAAGAGCCTGATATATTCTAAAATTATGTATTCTTTCCCAGCTAACATAATTCACAATCTCGCCGTTGTAGGCAACAGCCACGGCTATTCTTTCCATGGAAATTTGGTTATGTATTTAACATATTGCTGCAAGTTGAAATGAGCAGAATAACTCCTCAAATTGGCTTGTTACATTGTCATCTGCAATCACATTTGGAGAATTCAGTGAAGGAGGGTTGCATGTTGCTGAGCATACGGAGTTCACCGAGCAGAAACGTACAAACAATGCGGATGTAGACGGTGTCAGGGTGTCCATTCCACCACACAGCTGGTCCCAGTGTCAGGTTTAGCCCTGCTGGATCTGGGCCATCTGGGAGGGAGAATGTTCCAGCCAGGCTTAGAGACTAGAAGTCATGATTGCTTGATGCTGAGCACCAGTTATCCTAATTAAAAGGCATGGTGGTACAGGATAGCCGTTGCAGGGTTATTTTTCTGTTGTGTTATAGGCATTTTGTGCTAACACCCTTTCCTGCAACTTTATTACTCCCTCCTGTCTTCCCGTTCTAGGTGATGGTGCAAATGACGTAAGTATGATTCAAGCAGCTGATGTTGGAATTGGAATATCTGGACAAGAAGGCATGCAGGTATCCCTTCACTCTATTTCCTTTATATTTCCTTTATTTCCTACTCCTCCATGTGGTCTCTTGCTGCTTAATAAGCTTCATAGCAGCCCTGTACTCTTGAGCATCACCTTAAAAATGCAAGTTGGCATCATTACCAACCTAAATTCTTGTGCAGTTAGTAATTATGGATCCAGCTCAAAAAGACTGTTTTGAGCCAACAATTAGCATGCATGGACAAACGTATGTCTGCTCATAAGCCTGGAAAATTAGCAGATGCCTGTCCAGTGTTAGGTTAGCATCTGGTTTCTGAATCATCTCTGCTACCGCTTTTCTAGGTTTTATTGATTCTCTTTCTGTGTTTTCTGCCCCAAATTCTTTCCCACATCTCCACCTTCCTCATTCTCCTAAGATGGAATCACAGAATCATAGAATCATAGAATGGCTTAGGTTGGAAGGGACCTTGGAGGTCTTCTAATCCAACCTCCCTGCCATGGAGAGTTCTGCAGAGATGGAAAGTCGCAACCATTTTCTCAAGGGTGGTGGGTTTTTTTGATAGCAACAAATAATTTCAATATCCATGTTCAAATTTCCTCATATTGGTCAGAGAAAAGATGAGTTGTAAATTAACTTTTCTTTTTGCCAAAGGCTGTGATGGCTAGCGACTTTGCAATATCCCGATTTAAGCATCTCAAAAAACTGCTTCTCGTCCATGGCCACTGGTGTTACACTCGTCTGGCAAAGATGGTGATTTACTTTTTCTACAAAAATGTCGTAAGTTTATTAAAATTCAGCAATTTTTCATCCTAGCACAATTAAGTCCAGGGCTGGGTTGTTTTTCTGGTTTGGTTTTAGGTTTTGTAGGTTTCTTTTCACGAAGCTACAGTTCCTGTTCCTTCACTTTGCAAGTTTATACCATGCTACCTCCTTCTTAGTAATGTGCTTCATTAAGCATTGAGGAAAATATAGGTTCTAAATATATTTTGAAATAGCGTTATTCCAGAGGGAAAAAGGACTCAAGGCTTAGTAACTTTGATATGGAGTTCAAGAAACCTTATTAATAATACCCATGAGCCTCAAAATAAAATTTGCATAAGGAAGAGCTGATTATTAGTGCTAGAATGTAGAAGATGACTCTGCACTAAGAATTGGTTGCCTGTGAAACATCTGAACTTTTACACTTAATTTGATAGGAACCACTTTCAAGTAATGATGCAGTCATATCTGGCATTTTTATTAAAAATTTAATGTATATGCAAATGACTGTGCATTGAAGAATAATGTAAAGTGGAAAAACCTGATAGTAATACAGTTTCTACAAGACTGTGCAAACAAGTCCATTTGACATGAAATACACTCTGAGAATGAAAGGCGATTTACTTAGAATTCCAAGTATCTGTTTGGGAGTTTTGTAATAGTTTTGAATAAGGTTCACTTCTTATTGCTCTTAAAATTTGTAGTGGAAATTGAATTTTTTTTTTCCTACCCTTGACGGGGCATCCTTTCAGAGTCCAGCAGATATTTATTTGCAACAGAAAATAGCTCTACAGGCTGGGAGGCTGCTGGTCTATCGCCTTACTGGTGTATTAGGGATCAGGAGGGCTTTGGTTCCGCCCAGACAACCAGTTTGTAAAAGGATTTTAAAATCTGATGCTCAGATCTGCAAACCCAATTTAGTTAATTATACTGTGATATTTTCTAAAGAAAACTGATGGCTTTTAAGAAGCCCTATCACAGTGGACTGCTGTAAATTAGACCCTTAAGATTCCCTTTGTGGAATAAAGTACAGAGCTATCTACTGATGGTACCTTTAACCAAGATCAGATATTCTTGGGAGATTCTGCTAATAACCAAAGTACTCCATGAACCTCATAGGTGGAACTAGAAATACATACACCACCTACGCACTGCAAACTCCACAATCCGCTGTGCCAGTAGGGAACAGCATGGGGAAAGGAAGAGGAAGCAAAGGAGAGGCCACAGGAAAGGAGCAGCTTCACGCCTCTCACAGCCCAGAGAGAAACAAAATCACGTTAGCGCGGAGGATATGCTTCCGTGTGCGTGGGGAGCCACGTTCAGCTTGTAACGGGATCCTGTGTTTGTGTTTGCTGATCCCCAGAGCTACGTCAACCTGCTTTTCTGGTACCAGTTCTTCTGTGCGTTCTCAGGCACCACGATGATAGATTACTGGCAGATGATTTTTTTCAATCTCTTCTTCACCTCAATACCCCCTCTTCTCTTTGGAGTCCTGGATAGAGATGTTTCTGCAGAAACACTTCTAGGATTGCCTGAGTTGTACAAGAATGGACAAAATTCAGAGGTATGTCTTGATTGCTGAAATACCTGCTCAATAAGTGAAAGGACCACGGCCTTTTTGGTTTTGTTAGGAGGGAAGGAAGAGAAGATTTTGCACTTACTTGGAATTTGGTTCCTAGTTTACTGGTGTAACTAAAAGGTAGGCTTGTAGCTGTCAGGAGAACTGGTGAGGAACATCTGATTGAACTTACTTCCTGGAAGTGAGGCTGGAGACTTGGTCATAGTTGGAAGATGTAAATGGGAAGGTTTTTTCTGCCATTAAATAAATAGAGCAAACCAGTTTGGTACCAGCGTGCTGCAAGATAATGTGACATGCTTGCAAACCAGCCCTGTGTTTGGTTTTTCTGATCTGAAGAGCAAGTATTTGTGTGTGTGTATGTACATATGTACAAGGCATATAGATATATAGGGACAGATTCTCAGCGAAGACATAGGGAGAAATAAATAAAACAGGATGAGAAATGTAATGAATGAGGGTAAGATCTGGCTAATCTTCCTAAGGTCCATCTTGAGTTAAGACAAAGAAAATGCCTGTTCAGATACAAGCTTTTGGTCTAAATCGGCTGCTCAGGAGGCATTTACTCATGAAGGAAGACCAGTTAGCTGTAATCAGTAGTTTGAATAGAAGAAAAAGGGACAGCTATTATGACTACAGGACAGACTAGAGATGTGTGTGCCTTCATAATGACTGCTATCTACAAACTCCTGCAGATATACAAGCTGTCAACTTTCATTATTACAATGTTGGATGCCTTCTATCAGAGCCTCATTTGCTTCTTTGTCCCTTATTGGGTAAGTACCAGGGTCATTAATAGTCTCATTCTCCTATCCTCCTTTAAAAAACAGAAAAATTCACCTCTGAATAGTTAAGAGTTCATCACAGTCTATCTGCCTGCTTTCTAGACATATGAGGGCTCTGACATAGACGTGTTTTCCTTCGGAAACCCGATCAATACCGTCTCCCTCCTGACCATTCTCTTGCACCAGGCTCTAGAAATGAAAACGTGGGTATGTCTTTGACCTGTCCTGTTTTTCTTTTGTGAACACAGAGTAGTGTGTAGACATGGCATTGCCTTTCAGAGTCATTTGCCAGAATTCTGGGTCACAAAAAGTAAGTAACAGATGCACTGACATTTCACGATGTGCCAGAATTGATTATTAGCCTCAGGATAATGCCTTCATGTGCCCAGCGACAGAATTTGCTTCTTCTATTCCTTTGGACAGGGCAGCACACAATTTTTACATACTTTAAGAAACACATCCACATGTATCGAAGAACTGTATTTGCTGTCCCCGTTGTTCTGTAAGTTAATTTCTAGATATTTCTCCTTTTCAGCAGCATGGACTGTTGGACATGTTTTTTCCAATCTGACTTTGTATCCTCCTGTCTTACACACAGAGTCAGGGTCTCACAAGCATCACTCTCATGTCATGCAATTCTGCCTACAGACCCTGTGCCACTTGGTGACCATGGTTGGCAGCGTGCTGTTCTACTTTGTCTTCTCTCTGGTCTACAATGCCTCCTGCGTGGTCTGCAACCCCCCCACCAACCCCTACTGGATTATGGAGAAGCAGCTTTCAGAGCCCACCTTCTATTTACTGTGTCTCATTACCCCAGTCATCGCTCTCTTGCCAAGGTTTGAACTGTTCTCCTCCCAATTTTCACTTTGGATTTGTAGGCATTTGAGTGAGAGAACAATGGTGATGTGTACAGATATGTGGTACGTCGGGCAGATGTGTTGCACAGGGATAAGTGATCGGTGTGGAAGTCAGATGCCTGAGTTCAACTTTCCAGTTCGTGAACCATTAATTTATTCAGTTATATAACCCTGGATAAGTCACTGTATATCTGCTGCTTTTGTTTTCCCATCAGGAAAACCTTTCTTTGAGAGTGTTTCAGAGGTCACCAGTACAAATCTGCTACATAATGGTTCACTACCATAAACACGATGTTGTTGAGTTAATCACAACTAGAAAGCAAGTCTTTGAAATATTCCTATATGCTTTGAGAGCTAAAAAAATGTGTGCAGTTTCTTAAATACTTTACAGTGCATTACTAAGCCAAATCGTTTCTTTATGAAATAATTTTCTGCATCCAGAAATTTAGTTTTACTCTGTGAGACAAATCAAGGATGTTAACGATGGCTTTAACTGAGGCCGAGTAATGTCTGGAGAGGGATAATTACTTTGATAGGTTGCTAAAACAAAATTATTTGGAAAACATAATGATTCTCTTCCCATATATGAATATGGAGCCTTACCGCTTTTTATTCTTAATAACGTAATCATTCTTCAAGCAGATATGCTTTTTCTGAGTTGTGCCACTTATTTAAAAACTCTATTTGCACCTGGACAATGAAAGAAATGGCTTCATTTGACTATCTTGCCAGTCTCCTCATCCTGATTGTCATATAGTGCAGCACACTGGTATTGCAAGAATCAGAAATATATTTTTAGTATCGGATTTTTTAAGTGCTTTAAGGCATTAGAATCTGAACCTTAACTTTGTCTAAACCGGAACTTTTCGAGACTAGATAATATTTTTCTTCTAATTATTACTATTATTTCCCCATTTGAGTTGAGGTGCTCTTGTGACTTTATGTTATGTTACATAACTTCAGGTCAGGATAAACACCACATAGTTCAGTAAGGTCTCATGTCTTCTAGGCAGGACCTCCTTTTCCAGTCTATTTTTCTCCTGTGTAATTTATGTTTTCCTATCAGCCCTCATTCACAGTGTCATTTTTGACCCTGAGCTTTCTACTGAGAGCCACATCAAACACATGGTTAGAGAACTCACATCTCCATCTTGGGAATTCAGCAAGGTTAAGATCTTCGCTGCCTCAGCAGGATCCTGAGCTCAAAGATTTGTATCTTGGTATCTTCAAAGTTGGAGAACTGCTGTTCCTTCATGTAGCTACCCCAGATTATTTTCTGCAGGGTCCTCAGTTCACAGAACACCCAGCCTCCAGTTTGTTCTGCAACTTCACTGTGTCAGCATATCACAGCCGCCGTGCAACTACCCTTTGTTAAAATACACTTAATTCTAAGTTGCAGTTGGTTCATCTCACCCCGCTGCCTGCTCCCTGTCTCCTTCAGAAACTGGTTGGAGCCTTGAGATTCTAGTCTCTTTCTCAGAGGTTTTGTTGAAAGCCTTGCTCTCCTTGGTTCTTCCTTTGGTACTGCTTTCTGCACTAGCTGACATCTCGGGGCTCTGCAGGCATGTGGGGGGGCTTGCCTGTGCCCCACCTGCAGGCAGGCTGTCTCCGGGGTGTTCTCTGGCAGTGCTTTGCATCCTCTGTGCATCTGCATCTCAAAACTGCCGCCAAGCTTTGTTTTGGGACACAAACTGCCCAGTGCTGGGTACTGAGTCTGAGAGGAAGCAAGGGATCTGTATTTCGTGTTCATTCATTGGCAAGGGAAGGCACTGTGCCTCTTGGCACCAGATGTGTTTCTCTAGCTGTGGAAGGCAGGCTGGGCTCTTCCAGGAAACCTGCCCTGCAGAGCTGTGGGAAGGGCAGGAGCGAGTGCGCGCAGTTCATGGGATGTAAGGCATGGTTCTCTTTCCTTCCTCTGTGCTCCTGTCTGGTTTACCTGCAGCTTGCAGAGGACAGCTGGAGAGGAAAGGCAGAGAACACGAGCTACGCCAGACCTACGCAGGTGGACCCAGGCCCTCAGTAGTTGTGCTCTTAGCTGCCCGACAGGGACCAGCCGCTGCACAGTTCCCAGACCTGAGATGCTGTGGGACTGACCAGCCTGAGCCACAGACCCGGCCAATACGTGTTTATCTGCTCCTACCTGTGCAGGTAGGCTTGAGCACTCCATCACTTCAAGAGCCCGTTCTGTACTTACTCTGGCTCGTTAGGCTTTTAAATCTTGTTTTACTTACTTAAGCATACATTTAGCAGCAGGATGTGAAGACGGCAGCGCTCTTAATGCAATTTCAGAGAGTCCCCATGTTTGTTTTAAAATGCATATTGAGACCATCTACGTAAAGGTCAAATCCTATTAGAAAGGTACTTTGAAAGAGACTTTAGTTTTCAGACAAAACTGGCATCACATGGATGTATGCTCTCACTGCACATAATATATTCACTTCTCTGTCCTGCAAAGGGCAGGTAGGACACTTTTTTTCTTTCTTTCTTTTTTTCCCTGCTTTCTGAGCAAATCCACAAGCTAAGGTTTTTAAATTTCTGTAGAAATATAATCTCAGTCTCCTCAGATACTGCATCTCTTGGTGAGCTTTTGTATATCTTTCTTGCACTGTTCAACAATCAAGTAGATCTATTATAATTTATGTAGTGTTTATGTACATGTAGTTGATGCTATACAGGTCAAGATAAGCATGCAGTTTCAATAAGGTGCATGAGTGAACCCTCATCTATCAGTTGTAAGGTGGCAGGATCAGATGCCTGCAGAGCAGTGGAAAATTAGCAACTGAATCTGGTTCACATGATGCAGATTATGGAAATAAACCACTGGGAAAGCAATCCATTCCTTTCTTCTTTCATCAGGTTCCTTATTTTTGCGCTACGAGGAACATTTAGAGCGTCTCTGATTCTGAAAGTGCAGCAACTAGAAAAACTTCCCAAAGGGCAACAGGATCTTGAAATCCAGAAATTGAGAACAAGAAAACAAGCCACTTCGGGTGCACCTGTAGCGTCACCTGCACCTAATGATGACCTTGACCAAAACATCAGCCGCTTATGTGTGTCCCCATTTTTAGAGCCAACAGCAGCAGCCCTCTCTCATGGGGACACAGAAAGTCAGGCACTTTCCACCTCGGAAGTGAATGCTCTCAGGAAGCAGACACCTGAAGAAGGCTACTATTTCTTCAATAGGTGGGCAGAAGAAGAACCTACTGCTGCAGACTCTTCAGCAAAAACCATTACCCCTTTTTACCCAGCAGGATAACAACTCCTGGACAGGAGGGCAGCAAACTGGCTGAAGACAACACTAACACCTTTCGCCACGGAAGCCATCGGCGATCTGTGAGCGCAGTGACACTCTGAGGAAACATTCAGAAATGTGATCCACAGCCCATGTGTAGAAGGAGAGCATAGGGAGAATAAAAAGTTTATTTAACCTTAACCATGATGCTTGCTCCAAAAGGAGAAGTGTGTGGAGCAGTGCAATAACACCTCTACTATGCAGCTTATCCTAAGTGCATATATAGTTTGCGTTTGTCATTACACGACCCCTTGATCTTCCTGGTTTTGTCTCATTAGAGGAATGTTACATGAGCAGTTGCTGAGAAATGTACAATGCCTTTCTTTCATCAAGGAATATTCTTCTTTACATTAGTAGGGAATAATTGTACTAGTGATGTTTCAATATTGCTATGCTATTGAGGTAATACAAAGAGAATCCATTCTATATTAAGCCAAGTCTTAGAGCAACACATTCTACTCTATCAAATTCTTAACAAGTCCTTACTCACTTTAAAACTACAGTTCTGTCTGGAAAAAATGTTACCTCCTGATACTAAAGGTATTTGCAGAATCACAGTGTCAGAAAGACACTAGAGAATGTTCCAGATTTTAATATATGGACTTTATATAGAGAGCAATATCAGGTCTGTAGTCTGTTTTCCCTGAACAGTGAGCTCAGCGTTTCTATACAGGCAGTGGTTTGACCTGATACTGTTAAGAAAAGAGCAAATGAGTTTATGAAGTAGAAGAATGCTTATACTGAACTACAAGAACTGACAGGATAACTCGGGGTCAAGTGGAGTCTACTTCCTCCTACCTACAAAAGTAGACAGATAGAACAAGTCAGATTCAAGGATTCTAGAATTCTGAAGTCGTCCCTGCTTTTTCATCTAGAAATTTAGTTCCTTCGTTCCTTTCTCTATGTTACTATATAGTGTTGATGCCTTCAATTAAGTATAAATCATGCTCCTCCCCACAGCTGGTTACAGTCAGTAGTTGATGGAGATCTCAGTAGTGGAGATTTCGACAAGCAATATATGAAGATCACTAATCACATTGCAGTAAGTACCTGGTGTAGAATGACCAAAATATGCGTAATACGTTCATTCTTTTCAGTATCTCAGGGCAACAGGATACAGGAAAAAAAAACATAAATGTCACCATCACCACTACCTATTGCAATGCAATGAAAGGTGACTGGTATTTCTTATAGAAATGTTGACTAGCAAGACCATTTCCCAAGATTTTCTTCACAATGTGGGGTCAAATCTTAACTACGTTTTAAACTCAAGCCATCTGTACTTTTGTGAATCTACCACTGGTTCTGATTTAAGTAGGTTTTTAGTCTTTTTTATTTTATACTAATTTATGCTAAACTAATTTAGCTGTTTATTACCTGTCACATTATGTGATCTGTTTAATAACCTGTTTAGGAAATACTAAATTAACTTCTCTGTATTATAATAATTACTGTAAGTAGAGTCTTGAAGATGTTACTTTAAGGCAACTCAGGCAAAACTGAGGAGTGTATCTGCCACCGGGATTTCGGGTAGCCAGAGCAAGAGTGCACATAGCACTGTAGTTGTTAAAGTATTAATTGTCAGCTGTAAACCAATTCAGAAAGAGATTTTTTTGCATCATGTACAAAATGAAGGGAATTAGGCATAGCTGAGATTATTGTTAATGGAGTGTGAGACTGCTGAAATGTTTGCTTATTAGCTGGGAACGGACCTTGCGTGACAAGACCTAAGATCAAGCCTTTACACATTCACAGCCATGTTTTTACATTAAATGGTCCATTTCCTCTGAACTTAAGGAAGATGCCACTTTCTTTTACATTTTATTGCAAAATGTGAAGTGTTTATATAGCAATAAATGTAATATGGTCATGACTTGGTATGTCATCGAGAGGAGAAAAAACAGAAACAACCTCACTTTTTTCAGAGGTCGCTGCTCTCTCTGGTGGACCAGGCTATAGGAATGCTTATCATAAAAGCTACGTAACAGATTTATCTGAATATGCAAGGGAGCTGAGCATGTCTGGAAAAGGGCCGGGCAAGTTATGTTTAAGCAAACCTGAAAGATCCGTAGACATTCAAAACCAAGAATTAATTTCATGTTTTCTCATCGCGGCTTCTGCAAAACCATTCTAGGATGAATTTTGCCCTCACAGGTGGGCTTTGGTTTAGCAATAGCGTAAAGTTAAGGGAGACTCCTTTTAAGAAGGGGAATGAAGGAAGGATTTCTTATGATCTCCAGCACAAGATGGAATCCCTGCTGTGTCAGGGGGTGAAAGAAGTGGAAGATAGTCTCTGTCTAAGTAGCTTCTAGGCTGTGAACAAAAATAAGAACAAATGTGAATGAAAAGAAGGAAAGAATCCAAACTTGCATGGCTTCCTTAAATAATTCTACAGCTAGACCTGCAATCTGTTAATTTGTTATGCTGCAGATGATAACAACACTGCTGTACTTCAGGACCTCAGTGCACTGCTAAACAGCGTCGTCTTTTCTGTGCTCCTGGGCAAGCAGTGATCATGACCCACCTCAGGTTAAAAAGATGGTGAACAGGCCTTCCCTTCGATCATGAGGCGAATTAGCTGAGGCCATGGATCACCTTGGCAAGTAGGATCTAGAGTTTAAAAACATTTTTCTTCCGGTGAAAGCAAGCCTACAATAAGAAAGCAAGACCTTCAATGAATTTATTTGCAAGAGGGGAAGTGTATTTACTAAATGGATTGTTTAGACCTAACTGGATTATTTATTGGACTAAAAAACACTACAATTAAGGGGGGGGGAGGGGGGAAATTGCTGCACATTTTTTACGATATTATTCTAAGACTATATAATTATATTGCAGTACTATTACAATAATAATACTGCATATGCAACCGTGCTTTGAGCTCTGCAGAGCTGCACCTAACGTGACAAACGGAAGGTGGCCTCTCATGTAGAGGTGGACAGGAGCTGACTTACCAGGTCTATTGGCTGAATCACAGACACAACCCCAGGCTGGCTGCAGTCATGAGTGAAGAGCTATCCACCGTGTGGCAAGTTGGTTGTTGTGGGTTTTTTTTAATAAAAGGTGTGAGAAATGCACACGTACGTCTGCACTTTGTTCATGTCTGTCTTAATAGAGCAAGCTGGAGATATGGTCTTTGACAGTTACTGCTGATTATCTGCTTGATATTAGCAATAATTGTTCAGGCTAAAATGCAGAAACATTCGGGTGGGACAGAGGGAGGAATCTGGTTTGTCCTCTTTTCTTACGTGTCTCAGAAACACATAGCTAAGTTTTAAGCTATGTAGAGCCAGGTGCGCATCATGCTCCCGCACAGAGACCGCTTTCCCAAGGATGACTTGCATCTATTTTGCCACTTGGCTGGCTGATGCTGCAATGTTTAATTCATTTGTTTGATTGCAGTTCGAGGTGGTGTGGGAGCACGGAGCTGTTTGCTTTGGGGGTGAGGGGCCTGCAGGCAGGATACGGCATGATTAGGTATGTGTAGGCAGCGCTAATGAGTAAAAATATGAAGAAGAGACGAGAGACTCTTGAAGGTAATGATCACAGAGGGTGGGATTTAGAGAGCTGGCCAAATAACGCTGAGGATCTATAAAGTACTTTTGACATTGGTGGTGACTGAAACTTGCTGCAATTACCAGTACATGAGGCAACTGTGAACAGAACTCGCTGCCCGGCTCTCTAATGCAACACCTGGTTATTCTCAGCTACATAGACAAGACAGAGACTGAACAGAGTCTGAACCATTATTTTTCACAGAATAGCAGAGGGGTAGCCGTGCGTTGTCTGAAGGTATGGAGGGTGATGGATATTTATCCACCATCCCCAGGGCAGCTACTGAAGTATGTTCCCACCTCCAGGCGTAGGTTGCAGGTTTCTTTCCATGTCAGTGCCCAAAGAACTGGTGTGATTATTGTGTTCTTCCAGAAGAGAGCAAATCTCTAATCGTCACTGTAACTCAAAGGTCAAATTTTGGCTCCTTGGAAAATGAATTTTGGACTCGACAGAAACGAAGTCATTAGCTGCTGTGTTGTTGTTGTCATCATCAGTTCAACCCCACAAAGCTGAGTCAAGATCTTTATGGGACTGGGGAGGGGGGGAGCAGCCTGACACACCGTTGCTGCCAACCCTGGGGGCTATTTGTCTGCCACCATTTATTGCCCCTATCACCATCATGAGGGTGCCAGAATAATCTCTTCAACTGCTTCAGACAACCCTGACAAGAACCTTGTCAGAGTTCTCAGCTATGTTTTCAGTTGCTCAGACCTTGTTCTCCATTTTGCCTGCAGTCCCTGTCAGTTTGAAGCCAGCCAGAGAGCAAAGCTCTGTTCTGAAGTCGCGTGCGTTGGTTTGACAGCTTCTGTGCTTATCGCACCGTGGGTTCTTCCAGCGGGTCGGCAGATACTTGAGTCTTCCTGGGCGCTGTGCTTTGTGTGATATGGTGGCCATCCAAAGAACCTCAAATGCAAAGAATCTATTATTCCCCAACACTGAAGAATATTTAAATATACATTTATATAGTTATATAAATATATATTTTAATAGATATATACATATTTCTTGAAATAAGTGGCCAATACATTTGAAGATGAGTCCAAACACAGCTGGGGCATTCCTTTTCTATGCTGCTATTCCTCCTTTTTTACTATCACTGCTCTATTGAATCTCAAGCAGATAATTTAGGACACTCCTGTACTTTTCTTGATTTTACTAAAAGCAGGACAAATGCAAATCAGTAGACTGCAGGCAGGTCAACAGAACTAGTAGCTGGATTCAAATGAAATTTTATTACAGTCTATATTGTTTTGTTTATACTTTCTAAAGACTTTTGTCAGGAAGAACAAACATTTACATACGCTTGCTCTGAATGGTTCCTCTTTCACAATGTTTAGGCAGCTTGTGGCCAGTAATGTCATGGTCTAAACCAAAGATTTGAAGAGGAGGGCAAATTCTTCATTCTGTTATCGTACACTTGGGATAGTCTGGGAGATGGACTAATAAGCACGAATAATAACAAAAGAAGAACTGAAACATGTCCAAGGCTGTCTGGAGATTTCCAAAC